GATCTGACTCCGCCCACTTCTCAATGAAGTTACCGCAAGTTTTGAATTTTATAACTTTTTTCGACGTCGTTCTTTTCACATCTTCACAAAACGAATATACTAATAGCCATAGTGCATTTGTGCACTAGCACACTAAGCCCCGCCCCTCTGGCCACGCCCACTTGTGTTTTTCGTGGAATTTCAATTTTTCTTCCGAATTTCACTTTTTGGGTTGTAATAAGTGGCTCCGCCCACTAGTAGAGACCTCGCCCACTCCGTAGAAGCCCCGCCCACTTTTGAAAAATGACGCAAATCGGCACGCTGGAGTCCGGACTGGCAGGTTATGGCCTCTCCCGTCACTCGGAACAAAGTTATGCTTTTTTTTGTTCCGAGTGATGGGAGAGGCCATAACCTGCCAGTCCGTACTCCAGCCGACTTGCGTCATTTTTCAAAGTGGCGGGGCTTTTACAGAGTGGGCGGGGCCCCTACCAGCGGGCGGAGCCTCTTGTCACAGCCTAAAAAGCTAAATTCAGGAGAAACTCGAAATTACACGGAAACACAAAAGTGGCGTGGCCAGAGGGGCGGGGCTTAGTGTGCTAGTGCACAAATGCACTATGGCTATTAGTATATTCGTTTTGTGAAGATTGAATGTGAAAAGAACGACGTCGAAAAAAGTTATAAAATTCAAAACTTGCGGTAACTTCATTGAGAAGTGGGCGGAGTCAGACCTGTGTCGGTACCAATCCTTTTCAGTTGAAGTGTGTGTGCAACTAGCAAAAGTGAAAAGTGAAGAAGCAGAATTCATAAAACATTTTGGAAAACCGTGACCGCGCTGAGAAGTGGGCGGGGATGTTGGGGCGGGGCTTGCAGCAGTACCTAGTGTGGTCTAGTTATCAACTGCCTATTGTAAGGGGTGTGTCCGATTTGATTTGAAAAGTGTCCGATTTGAAGTGAAAATGGTATATATATCCTTCATTCTATAAACCAGTAACTTTGTGTGTCGGTTTGTATGTATGTATGTATGTCTGTCCGTCCGCAAAATGCTTCACGGGTTCGAGTTCGCTGGAGGAGAAAACGACCGCTAGGCAAACCGGCAATCGATTGGTGCGGAAGTATCAATCCAATGTTTTGATCGTGATATCGGTAATAATTTATATATTATACGAAGTTAT